TGTTGAGACCAGGGCTCAGGTGCTTAGCCAGATGAGACTCGTCGCCCGCCTGGAGAGACCCCCTGCTTCTTGGTGCCTGCTTGTGGTGGGGGGAGCCCTTCTTTTGAGGCAAAGGCAAAGTGCTCCTCCCCAAAGGCAGAAAGGACTATGTTATAGGACTTCTGACCTCTACAGTGTGTCCAGTGGCAAATGCACACCCACTTTGGCACAGATAACTGAGAAATGTAACTGAAAGTTAACCAAAGTCTTGTCTACCTTAGAAGGCAAATGAAGCACCACAGGAAGAATTCACATATAGAAAACATCTTAACTGTGGAAGGAAACTGCTTCCTTCGTGTCTGAAGACAACAGGGCAGCTTTCATCTGTGAAAAACCAGACAGTCCCATTGCTTCTCTGATGTTTCCTCAGACACCTCAGACAGATACCTGGAACTCGCTGTCTTCCCTCAAGTCACCACAGACGTCACTGCTACGTTTTCCTGAGCAGTTGATTATTAGAGAACATAAAAAGTCGTCCCAAGCGGCGCACAGAATCCTAGTGTGTCCTGCAGAGAATTACACTGTAATCCCACCTCGCCACCCCAGGCCACTCCTGGGTGTTTATAGCACGGATGAACTCAAGTTAGGATAAATCCGAGAGAACCTTGAAGGAAAGAGTAGTGTGTGGTCCAAGGGGCAGCCCCATTTTCTTTGCTCTGAGGACGGTTGAGAGTGTGTGGGGTGACACAGAAGGAGAGCTGTTGCTGGCCTCCCCTAGGAGCCCCTGTCCCCCTGCCTCCCTGGGCGCCCACGGGGGGATCTGATTTTTCCAAAACTTGTAGCCACTTCTGTTGTGTCCCTTTTGGAATCGAAGTAACAGTTGGTGCTGCCCAGATCACCTTCTGTTCTTTTTTGCCATTTTCTCCAAAACGCATTATTGAGATATAATTCACCTACCATGGAGTTCATCCGTTTAAAGTATATAATTTGATGTCTTTAGTATAGTCACAAGGTGGTGCAACCATCATCACAGTCTAATTTTAGAACTTTTTAATTCATCCTAAAACAAACAACAAACATAAACCTGCTAGCAGTCAATCCCCGCTCCCCCCTAACTGCCCCCCCCCAGCCCCAGGCAACCACTAGTCTACTTTCTGTCTCTCCAGATCTGCCTATTCTGGACATTTTGTATAAATGGCATCACACAGTATGTGGTCTTTGGTGACTGGCTTCTTTTACTCAGCATGTCCTTGGGTTCATCTGTGTGGTAGCTTATATTGCCAAATAAATATTCCAGTGTAAGGGTAGGCCACATTCCGGTTGTCCCTTCATCAGTTGATGGACATTTAGGGTATTCCTACTTTTTGGCTATTAGGAATATTGCTGCTATAAACATGTCTGTACTGTTTTGCCATTTTTTGAGCCGTGAATTCAGTCTGGTACAGCGAACAGCCCTGTCACGGCTAAGATGTAAACTAAGATCTTTGTATTCATGCTCTGTGAGATAGCAAGACGGTCTAGAAACCTGTCTCCATGAGGGCCTGACTAGAAAAGTTGAAACCAAGATATTAATCTTAAAGGTATAATTTAGTTCAGTTTCGCCATAGAGCCATACAAGTACATTATATAGTTGTAGAAGGGAAAGAGAAGAATGCCAGAAGACTTCATGAGCATTCCACCTGCTTGCTTAGCCCCCGTACAGGTGTGTATGCACATGCAGGCGCACAAGACTCGAGCACTCTCTGCCTGCCTGCCCGCCTGTTGGTCCAGCTGTCCCAGCTTTCTGATTCAGAACCAAAGTTGATGGGCAAGACCGACGACCAAAAAGAGGAAGCCCAGAGCCAGGGCCAGGGCCAGGACATAGCCACTGCTGCTGGGTTGGAAATACTGGAAGCCATCCTTAGGCCATTTGGAAATGTTAATTAAGCTGGCTAATTCCCACTGGTCTTGAGTTGCCAGTGTTGAGTTGAGCATGTAGGCTTACCCCGTCCACGGCTGCACCTGTTCCCTTCCTCAGAGCCATTCCAAGGGGTCTGAATAGCTCAGACAGCTCTCTGATCTCCCGCTCTGTCCGCCTTCCTGCTGGGAGGATACTTAGCGTGCGCCTAAAGCTGGAATCACCATCCACTGTTTCTCTCCCTCAGCCATGCCAGCTTGCAAAATCATTCCCTTCCCTAATTATCTTGGACAAGTTAATCATTTTCCACACTGACTGTTAAGCAATAAGGACCCAGGGAGAAGTAACCACTTTTCCTGTCTGACCCTGCCCAGTGTCATCCCTGCCACCGGGATGGCAGCCTTTCTTCGGAGATAAGAAGCTCCGTTCAAATCCTTACTCTTCCGCTCCCCCAGTGAGGCCTGCCAGAGAACACATGCCACAAAAAGACCGACCGGTTCTTGAAAAGCCTCCACGAGGCAGAGCTGTGTGGAACACAGCACATCTCGGATCAAGACTATTGTTTCCTGTGTTTTAGCAAATCCTCGTTGATATCCGGAGTAGCCCAGAAGCTGCACGAGGCCCACAAAGTAGGACATCTTTCTCTAAGAGTGGCTTCTGGATTTTCCACTCAGAACCACTGAGTGGCTGCAGTTTAGCCCCTCGGTGTCACCCAACACGGGGAGGGTTCTCTCCAGAGGGGCCCCACTCTGCTGCTCTTAGATGCGAGCGGAGCCTATCCCCAAGTTCCAGCACCACTCACATGTAAGAAAAATTTTGAATGTAATGCACATATTAACTTTCCCACCCAATGTGGCTCGAGCTCTTTTTCACAATCACCCCACCACGGAGGTCCCCAAGACCTCCGACCAATTTTCTCATTTGTCTCCTCCCCCCGAAACACTCCAGAAATCCTGTGTGTCCCTTTGTTTACCATACCTACATCGGGGCTTTCGATTTGTAAAAAATAAGATATTTTTGCCCCCCAAGGTGTGATATCACTCTGTAGAATGCATGCCGCTACTCCTCCACCAAAGGGCCCACGGGCAAGAGCTTCATCTGCTTTATTCACGGCTGTAACCAAGAGCCTGGAACAGAACCTGGCGCACCTCAGGTGCCCAGTTGATGAAAAGATGAAATAATTATGCTCTGTGTCTCTCCCCCACCCCTCTAAGCATCATGCGCCTCCTGTTCTCTTCCTGTCCCTCATCTCCAAGCCCCGTGTGCTCTCCTGGTGCCTTCCAACACTGCCCAGGCTAGTTGGTACCTCACGGTCACCCCCAGGGATGTATCAGGAAGCTGACAGCCTACTCCTCTGTTCCAAGTGTGGGCCCCCGCCCTTTGGTAAGCACTGCCTGTGTGTCAAGGGCAAGTGACATTTGAGCCCCATGGAATAATTAAGGCAGCCCCCAACTGTCTCTGTCTTTGCATCTCCTTAACTCACCCATGGACTGGCAGTTACTGAGGCATTCTGTTTGGTCCAGCACACCACACCAGGCTGCATCTGGGGATGCACTGGGGAGAGGAGCAAACCAGTCCTCATCAGCAATTACAAACAAGTCCTCCATTGTTAGCTGCGCCATCTGCTTTCTTGGTACGCCCAGCATAACCAGCGCTGAAGGGGCTGCAGGGGAGGGAGGCCAAGGAGCCCCTTCATGAAGAGACCCTTTGCTCACACTGGAGAGGGTAGGCAGCATGGTGCCCTGAAAAGCTGGGCCTCCCCAACTCAAGGAAGACAGACCCGCGGAGAGATGCTGTACATCTGCCATTTTCCATGAGAAGAAATGGGGTGCTATAGCACAGTGCATTGGGAGAAAACAGGAAATCTAGATCATCGCATTATCCAGGATCCATGGAAAACATCCTAGTCTGTTACCAGCAATCAACACAGTCGCAAGAACTTCCTGTGGTCTGGAGCACTATCCAGGTATAGAGAAGGAGCAGGTGACAGTGGTTGGAAATCAAGTAAGACTGATCATCCACGATCAGTTATTTATCCTGAAATTCCTAACCCCAAGTAATTCTGCGGGGGGATGAATTTTCACTAGATCGTGGAAGTGCACATTTCTTCTGGAGAGCCCCACTTGAGACTATGTCAGCGGTCCTTCTGACAGCCTTCTGAACCACCATCTCAGAAACTGGCCCTGCTCACTGTGCCAACCTTGGCAGGCAGGGTCAGCAGGCAATCCAAGTTTACAACTGTGGCCGTGCAGACAACAGTCCGTGTCACTGATGAATGTCCTTTGTCCAGATTTGATGGTGGTCTAGTGACACTGAATTCAGGAGCGCTGTGGGGGTTGGGGTGAGGAGCTACGATGCCTGGTGCAGAATGAGGCTGAGGACTTGCTAAGGGAAATGCACCTAGGAAATAGACTGTCTGTGGGAGGGGTGGGGGGAATCAAGAAAACCTGTCACCAAGTCCGTAAAACTCACATCCCCTCTCGGGGTCAGCGTGTCTGCTGAGATCCTCCTGCTCTGGGAGGGAGGGTGAGCTTGCAGTCTGATTTCACCACTGCAGGGTCCCCCTCCCGGCCGCCCTCTACACCACAGGCTGCGTGCCTCCTCCCTGGGGACTGTCACACCACAGGTGACACTGGTACTAAATTAACAGAGCGTGTACACCTCAGTAACCTGTGAAATGAAATGAAGAGGCGCGCACACTTGCACACTTAGAGCCTGGCAAGTATTTTTTCAGGTCACCCATTGAATTCCGAATGCTCATCTTGAACATTCTTAATCTTTGATGTATTTTAGACCAAATCAGTCAGCAAATATGGGGCAACAGGAAAGGGGTCTGGTGGTCGGTGCCGCCCTGTGCCTGTAGGGCTCCCGGCAGCTTCTACACAACACATCCTAGGAACACTATTGTCTCTCTCATTTCACGTCTGTAAATGTGATGGCAGCTAGAATTCTGTCCTGCCAAGTAGAATTTTAAGTGAATTTTCAGTTCGTAATGATCTCCAAAGCTGTGACAACACCCAGGCAGCGGAGGAATAAATGTATTATTAGCACTGTGTTCATTATCAGGTTGGGCTGTGGGTGCGCTGGGCTTGTACTCATTTGATTTCATGTTCTTTCCTTTCAGATTAAAATATGTAAAGGTCTCATTGCGATGTTTGAGCAAGGTAAGACTGATGCTTGGGGTTTGCCCAGCCACCCTGCTCTTGGGGAGGGGGTGCGTGAATTCACTAACCCACCTCCATCCAGGGCTAACACCGTGCTGAAATGTCCCCTCAAGTGCCTGCTGCCTCCCACCTTCCCTCCCGAGGGGCCCTGCCCACACTCCTGCCCCTGCATGTCTGTGCTGCCCGGGGAAACCCAGCCTCGCCTTTCTTCTGCCCGTGCACTCCGGGCGGAATCCGACACCAACACCTGCCATCCCGGAAAATGTCTTTGTCGCCCGCCCTTTTGTGTGCAGGGCCATGGGGAGCCGGTGGACCCGGGGCCGCCCCCTTTTTTGTTGCCCAAGCCAGGAGGAGCAGGATCTTGAGATGGGCCGATAAGATGTGGCACGTGCTGGGCCGGCCTTTGACCGCTCGCCTTAATGGGCGCCTCCAAGGCCTCCGTGCAGCGAGAGCAGGTTGTCTGGGGGGCTGCTGAATGGAACAGCTGGGGGAGGAAGAGCAGACAAAAGCTGGGGGAGCACAGAGGGTGAAGAACCCGGGGATGGGCTGCAGTTTAGGACCCAGAGGGCAGGCTGGCTGCAGCAGGTGTGACCTCCGTGGGCCTCCCCTTTCTGCCGTGGCTCCGAGGTCCAGACCCGTCCCCGAGCCGCCTTGTGGCCGTGTGGGCTGGGGGTGGCCCTGGCTGCACCGACTCATGGGCTCACAGGTGGAAGGAAGACCAGATGGTGATGATGTTCACAGTCATAATGTGGGAGGACACCAGCGAGCTGTCATTTATTAACCGTGTCACCACAGAGGAAGGCGTGGTACAGATGCCCGTCATGGTCTCAGGAACTGTGCATAGGGTGGAATGTTAGCATCTAGACTTTCGGGTTCATCCACAACGTCACCTCCTCCACCTGCAGGGCAGACGAGCAGCCACTGCCACAACGAGCTGACCCTGCGGCCCAGCTACCCTCTCTTCTCCTCTTGGCCAGGCTCTGGCCCAGTCCCAGAACTGTTCCACACCGGGCCCGCTCTCTTGAGCCCCCGGAGGCAACAAGCCCCACCAGCCCGGGTGCTCGTGGTGGGTGGAGTGGAGCAGGGCTGTACAGTCCTCTCCAGAGTGGGGGCCTCCTGCAGAAGTCTTCATTGGCCAGGACCCTGTATCCAGGCGTCCCTTCCCGCTCCCGCTACAGAGCGGCCAAGTGGGGCTCGAGTGCCCTTTGAATAGACCCCCGGCTTCCAGCAGGAGGAAAAGGCTGAATGAGTGGAGCGGCTGCGGGGCAGCTTGCGAGTGGATTTCTCTCCTTTGTGGCCCACCGGCTCATTCCCCAGCTGCTGCCTCCCCATCAATCACGGGGTGCAGCGGGCATCGCAGGAGCCCCACAGGCTGGGGCTGTGCCAGCGGGAAGTGGGGGACTGGAGGAATGCAGGGGGCACGGCCGTGCAGGCTCTGGCTGGGGAGGGGCAGCCTTCCCTTTGCCCCCAGCAGTTGGGGCCACGTCTTTCGATGCACGGGGGCCGCTTTGCTGCAGAGCTTCCTGCAGCTCCTCAAGGTCGGCCACCTGGCCGCCTGCCGTCCCTCCGTCCGCCTGCCATCCTGTCCCGCTGCTGGAATGCAGCGTGCACCCCTCCTCCCCCTCCTTGCCCTCCCCGGCTGGGGGCATTTAATATTTCCTTCTAATCCAGAATTACTCTTGCACTTAATATCATATCTTTGAACATCATTTTTTCTCTTTTATTCATGTGCTTTTTATTTTTTATTTTTTCCTTCCCTCTCTCCCAATCAGGCTGATTACAATACTGGGTAGAGTGGTTCCTAGTGAGGAATATGAAATCTTAGTTTGAAGCGAAGGTATTTCAAAATGGAACCTTATCTAGGATTGAATCAGGTTCATTCACCCCCATGTCCAGCTCCGAGGGGACAGAGAGAGACCTTTTGCCAATGCCGTCTCTGTCATGGAGATCAGTATGACTGTGCTGCCTTTGTCAAAAGCAGCCTGTTTTTAAAGATGAGAACCGCAGGAGAGAGCCCCGGGACATTTCCTCTCTCTGCCCGGCCTACGGGCACCAGCAGGCAGGAGACGGTAGAGCCCCCGCGGTGGGCGCCTTAAGGTGCTGGAATTGGGAACGCACTAGGGAAGGCTGTCTCCTCAGGTCCAAGCGTGTTTGTGAGTATTGATTTCAGAGGCTCTTCCTAGAAACAATAAGGTAAGATCAGAAAATGAGAAAAGATGTTGTCAGTGAATAAGACAACTTACATAAATTAATTTCAAATGCCAATAATAATAAAAATTTCAAAGGCCAAACCCCTGGAAGTGAAGCATTCTGGGAGGAGGATAGAAAGCCTGCTTCTGAGGTTTGATCGGATCCGGCCCGGAAGCTTGGGGTATAACACAGCCGGCTTAAAAATAGCTTATGGGGGAAGAGGGGTGATGAAACAAGCCTCTCCCTCGCAGCAGGGCCCCCGGGGGAGACCAGACTCTAGCAGCAACAGGGGCTGGGTATTGCAGCAGGCATTCCTGGATTCCTCTGAGCACCCTCGCAAGGGCCCTGGGGACGGGGAGAGGTGCAGACACGCACGCTTTGATTTTACTCCTTTTCCCTCCAGCGCTGAATGGTGCTATGCTCATCTGGACTCATTCGGGCAAGCAATTTAGTCCTGACCTCTCTCTCAGACCCTTTGGGGAATAATCCAGTTGTAACTCATTCGGTGAAATATCATATGTAAATAAGTGTAAATAATAACACTGACAGGGATCCCCAAAGCTGTCCATCAAGTTTTCCTGGCTTTTCTTCCCTTTGCTGCAGAGGCCTTTTCTCTTCATTCTTTACTTGTGGAATGGACGGTGAGGCCAGCTGAATTTCAAAAAGATTCATAGCTTGTTTCTGCTGCAGGACAGTCCAGAGCAAAGACCCGGAGGAAAGACATTCACGTGTTGATTCATTCGGCAAACATCTCTGCCCCAGTGACAAAGAGAGGTCGTCACAGCCTTTCTGGGGATGTGGTGGTGCCATGTCTCCTGAGGGCCGCAAGTCCTTCTTGGATCTGTGCCCACGAGGGCCTCCCCTGGTGCCCTGACTTGGCCTCTCTCTGCTTCCTTTGCAGGGCCCTGGCCGCCAACCTGAGTGCCTACCTCATGGCACCTCTTGACAAGGAGGAGATGAATGAGACTCCCCCTTCCCCCACCCCGAACCCCCAAACACAGAGACTTCGGGAAACATCACTGCTCTGCTGGCCCTCGACACATCTTCCCATTAACGGACTTCCAAAGTTCAAGGTGAACCCCACCAAAATGTCGCCGGTTGGACTTTCTCACTGGGCCATGTCGTCTTGCCCTAGAACCTCACGAAACTTGAGCTTCCAAAGAAGAAGAGGGGAGGGTCACCACCACGCAGAGACAGACGCGCTCTCATGGGCATTGACGGGGCTGCTCTCCGCAGGGATGGCAGGAGAAGATTCTGGGCTTTCCGGAAGGGGTGGAGGGCAACTGGTTGCTGTACTCTGAGTTGTTTATAAACCCAAGCAAGATTCACAGAAGGGCTGGCAAAACAGCTGCTAAACTGAGGAATTTTCTCTACATTGATTTCCCTAGTTCTTATGTTAGATTTTATGGTTTACTCCAAATTTCATCATCATGAAAATTGGCTTTCCCTAGGGTCTTTTGCCCAGGAGAAATTTTATCTGAGTTGCTGAGTGTTTTCCTCCTGGTGCCTGATGCCCACTAACAGGGGAGAGGTTTTTCTGACCATCCTGGAGGCCCTCAGATGACTCTAGAAACAGGGTCCTGTCCCTGTGAAAGCTCCTGTAGGTCAGGAGGCTTCCAGGGCCCAGCTCAGCACAGCGCCATGTCAACAAGCAAGGCGCACACCAGCGCAGGCGCCAGACTGAGACAGGCCCCCCTTGATGTCCCTCTGCCTCCAGAAGCTTCGCCCTGCAGTTGTGCTCTCCTGCCTGCTGCTGGGGGAGGGCCCCGGCACAAATGGGGGCTTTCTACCCATTTGGCTCTAAGGAAGGCATGTTGAGCCTGTTTAAAAAAAAAAGAAGAAGAAATGAAAATCCCTGCCTTCCATCTGTGCTTGGCCAGCATCCTTGCTGGGGGTCTGAGGGTGTCAGCGACAGAAAAATCAGTTAGGAAGACCTGTCTGGCCCTCTGCCTCTCACCTGGGCCTGCAGCCTGTCTCCAGAGTAAGCCCGTGACTCAGAAGAGGTGGGGTGGGCAGCACATAGAACACAGCCGCTAAGGACCCGAGAAAGATCGGTCCCTGCAAGGGTGCTTCCCCACCTCCCGTGACTCTCTGCCTCTCTGCTCTGTGCCCACTTGGGTGTTCCCCACCCCCACCCCAAAGCGGCAGCTTTGGTCCCCTTCCTGGCGAGTCTCCTGAACCCCTTCAGTCCATCAGAGTGGCCGTTTTCACTGACCAGTCAGTTCTTTCCATCCGCTGTTGCGTTGGTTTGGCTAGTACCTGACCCTTGCAGGAGAAACAAGCAGACCCAGGAGCCAGGCTTGCTTCTGGGACAAGTGACAAAGGATCGAGAAATTCCTATGGGAAGGATAGACCTTCTCAGTCTAGAGAGAATTTGTTTTTCGGCTTTAGAGAGGACTGCAGGTAGGGCGTGAGGCCCAGGCTCACAGACAGAGCAGCTTGGGGGTTACCCGAACCTGAGAGAAATAGAAGTAAGCCTTAGTCACTTTGGGCTGTTCTGTAAATGGGCCCAGTTGGTTTGCTCACTGGGGGCTTAATGGCATTAACGGGTGACTGGAAGTCACAGCATTTTCTGTTGTGTCGGCAAATGCCACAATTCTTATCTTCCCCACCCCTGCTCCAGCCGCCCACCCCCACCTTTTTAATAATTTGGACTTTCTGGTAGGCACGGTTTGTCCACTATCGCTCAGACTGCAGACTCGCGTTGAGCGGCTCCACTGGATATTTACAAAGTGCCCAGACCTCATTCCTGCAGGGGAGATCATCACCTGTCCCTGGGCTCCAGAGTCCAGGCAGACTCTGACAGCCAGTAGCTTCTGGGAGGACATTTCATTTCCAGGCTCTAGAAATCCCCTGTGGCAGAATTCTTGGATTGAGCTGAAGTGTCAGGACTTGGAAGTCATATTGAACTCCCCTGGACTTGTGCTCCATGAACCAGTCCTCCTAACCTACAAGTGGGAAACTCAGTTGTAGGCAGCATATACCTAGATCTTTCCTGTCATCCCTCACTGATTTTAACTTCCCTATGACCCCAGACTCCAGCCAGCGGTTTGGGGACTGGAGCTGCTCCTGAGCCCACTGTTGTCAGCGGCAGCATCGGGGTGGAATAGGGAGCAGGGAATCTAGCAACCAGTTTTGCTTATGATCACATGGACCTGAATCACTTTTGTTATTTGGGGTGGAAAATTGAAATGATCAAGTTCTTTTTTTTTTTTTTTCACTTAGAAAAGCAAATATTGTGCTTTTTGCAATAAATGCCTTCCCAGCAAAATTATGGAGGTTCACTCATCCGGCAGGGACCCACCTGAGTCACAGTGCTGACTCGTCGCATTAGTAGGTCAGCCATCTGTACTCGAAAGTGGCCCTGATTGGCCCAAAATGGGTAAGATTCGCCAGCTCCCAGGCAGGGCCAGGCCCATCCCCCCACTTCTCTGCACACTGATCTCTGCACACTGATTTCCGTCTGAAGCAAAGCTGATGTTCCATAGTCTCACTGAGAAGGTGTTTTTTGTAGTTTAAAAAACAACAAAATGATGACTTCTTAAAAATGGTAAAATCTGAAGTAGACAGCAGTGAGGAAATTTTGCTTGGGTGACTGTCACAGTGTCTTCATGCCGTGAAGGCTGCAGTTTGCTAAGAGCCACAGGGAGGGAGGGGAGTCAAGCCTGGCCTTCACAAAAGGGGCTGGCCGATGGGACCCTCAGCCTTACAAACTAGATCATGCAGATCCGCAGACCATGCAAATCACGTCTTCCTGACCTTCCTCCTGGTGTGGCCGCCTGCGCTTCCCTTCCTGGTTCATCTGTATCATCTGGAGGCTTGAGGGATCCTTTACAACGTACTGTGACGTCACATGTAACTGTGTGTCGTGTCTGTATCTACTGGAAAGAAATTCAACATGAAACAACCACTGTTTTAGCTGCACCCAGTACCTGTGTATGATACACACATGAAGAGAATGTTTTCTTATGGTTTCAGGTCGACAACATTTAGTTCATGTAAATAAGAAAAAGAAACTGATAAATATGGGAAATTAAGTTATAGGATGTCATTTGATTTTTGTTTTGCTCTCTCTTATTTAATTTGCCTAATGCCTCACATCTGGGTTTATGCCTACTTGGGGTAGAGTCCACCTTTGCAGGCGCGTGCGTGCCACACCTGGAAAAGCACACGAGCTCCACTGATGACCGCCGCTCGACTCTCCAGTTTACCCTCTTTTTCTCTTTAATTCTGATTTGCTGTGATGAATTTAATAAGGTAGAAACACGGCACTTAAGTGCCGTATGTTTCTTTTGTTTTCTTTATAGTTTCTAGGAAAATAAAGTTTATCCTGGCATCTCACAAAAGATGGCTTGCTTTTTTTTTTTATCAGAGTTGCTCAAAAGCCTCTTTTTTTTTTTTTTTTTAACCAAAGCCTAATTATGTATCCCAAAATGGTAGCCAGTACCAGTCCAGGGAAGTTTACAAATGTATTTATGTAAAGTCAGTCAGGAGTCCCTGGTTCTGATGGTCAAGAGGCTGACTTTGAGGGTTTGTCTTTTTGAGTAAGTGGTAGATAAAATGTAATGCCAGCCTCCTGCTGGTGTGGTCGAGGCCCCGTTGATGGCCCTGCCTCAGGGCTCCAACCATCACATTCTGAAGGCCTGGCCAGGTGGTCTCCACCAGCGTCCTGGGCTAGTCCCATGCTCTGGACGCCGGGGAATTTTCAACATGTTGGACAGTCGAGCTGTCTAAAAATCATCCATTGGTCCATTTCACAAATAGCTGTTGAGTCTCTATTACTTACAAGACATTTCGGTGAACTCACAAAGAGTCCAGGTGCCTTCCCGGGAGCCAGGAAGAACCTGAACTGTTGTGGCTTTTTAAAGCTTTGGACTGGTAGCAAGTACTTTTACCACTTGGTTCCTCATAGAACATAGCTTGATGCTCTAAAGAGCTTTGTTTCCTAGAAGCAGTGGTTCCCAGCCTTGTTGTGCATCAGAATCATTCAGGAAGCTTCAGAGGTCCTTCCATCTGACCCACCATGTCTGGATAGAACCTCAGCACCTAATTTTTAAAGTCCCCCTCTGCCCCCTCGAGGATCCCAACCTGCAGACAGATTTGGATTGAGTCGCTGCTGGAACCGACCCCACTGTGATGCTCTGGGCAGCCCTTACTCCCCATGCGGCACAGGTACCCTGGGGTACCTTCCCTTGAACAAGAGCGAAGAGTCCCTGAGGCACTAACTGCCCAGTGTAGTGTCCTGCCCATCCTAATGATTCCACTTTGTAGATGGCCCCGCTCCCTCCAGGATAATTTATGGATTCTCTTCAGATCTGGAAATAGTTATTTGAATTTCACAGGATATTGTTATGGAAGTCTCATAAAGCAGTTTATTGTCTTATTTATAACAAAAAGATGGGGGAGGGTGTCCTAGTCATCATACTTCCAGTCATTCTCAAAAAATGCTCATCAAATCTTAGGCCAAATCATGCAAGACTTTCAGCAGAATTCCAAAAAGAATCCAACTTCCACTGGTTCCAAAAGGACCATTGCTACAAGTTGTGTTCTCAAAATTTCTTGGCTTTTGCCAGGTGCCAGGTTTTAAAGAAAGAACACCTTTAAGGTACACCCTGGCCATAATAAAATACCCTTTTACTGGAAAAATGCCAGAGTGTTTTACGTTTGCTGCAGTACAGAGCATCTCTCAGCAATAAGACTCAGACGTTTATATTTGTTCACATCTGTACACATTTGAGCTAGCGTTATAGTCTTGTGTATGTGTATAAACTAAATTGAGGCCCCTTTGATTTATTAAACAGTTTATGTCAAGAGGAACTATTATCATTTACTCTTCTGTAAATGGAAATGGTTTTAATTGCATTTCATTTTTCAAATCATAAAGCTAAGGTCAGGGAGATGGAACACACTGCAAACATCATCCCCATGTATCTGGTCTACCCAGGACTATCAGCTATACTGTCTCCACACTCCCACCACCTCCTGCAGCTACTGAAATCAAGGCCCAAAGATGGCTACCTGGGGCTCACACAGCTAGAAAGTGGAGCTCCAAGAAGGAGCTAGGTTTCCTGGCCCCGTTTTTTGACCGCGACTCTGACCAGCAGCAGTCACAGATGTTCATCAGTGCACAGACTCTTAGTAGTTTCCATGTTCCTTCTGGCCCCTGTGAAGGTTTCCCTGGGGCCAAGTCAGAAGCCACCCTGACCTTTCTCTCACTTGGACCAGGCACAACAGGGACCAGCGTTTTCTAGCATCAGGGAACTTGTTTTACTGGGATACTCTCCCAAAGGGCAAAGAAGATAATACTGTTATTGACCTTCCTCTATTACTCTGGAAAACTTTGGATAATACATCGCTGGAAAGAAAAATGGCTCGTGTCTTCAGATCTGAAAAACAGACTATGGCAAAGAACCAGGAGCAAGAACAGGT